CCATCAGCATAGAGCCTGATGTGGGGCTCCAACTCACAAACCATGAGATCATGACCTAAGCCAAAGTCGGACGCTTAATCGACTGAACCACCAAGGCGCCCCTTAAATCCCATTTTAAAATAGCCTTTTCTCTTTCCCTTCAATTAAGAAAAAAGAAGGGGCGCCTGGGTGGCTTAGTCGGTTAAGCATCCGACTTTCGCTTGGGTCATGATCTCGCGGTTCGTGGGTTCAGGCCCCGCGTCGGGCTCTGTGCTGACTGCCGGCTCAGAGCCTGGAGCCTGTTTCGGTCTGTGACTCCCTCTCTCTCTGACCCTCCCCTGCTCACGCTGTCTCTCTCTCTCTCCTAGAAATAAATAAAACATTAAAAAAAAAATTAAAAAAAAAAAAAGAAACCTACATTTCCTGCGTAAAACTGCCACCGTCTACTGACTCCCTCGCGCACTACGCTCAGCCTTTTCTGCCCCACCGATCTACCAAAATTCTTGTTTGGTTCACCAACAGCAGCCTTACTTCCAAATGCAATGGGCACTTTTCAGCTGTTTTACCTGACCAATGTGATAATCGATGACCATGTTCTTCCTTTAAAAACATCCTTTCCTCAGCTTCTGGGACCATAACTCTCTCTCCTTCACAGGTAGGCCTTATACCTTTCCATTTCACCTATCCACAGGTCCTTCCTTAAACTCTTGGGGAGTCCTTTTGGTTAATCCTTGACCTCCTTTCTACTCTAATCCATTCCTCAGGCGGCCTCACCTTGGGAACTCCACAGAAACCTTCATTTCTATGTGGATGGCCTTTCAATCCGTCTCTCTCATTTGTATTATTTTCCCAATCTCCAGACACAGAGGCTCAAATGCCTGTGAAAATCTACCAGAACGCTCCATAGTTCATCTGAAATTCAGATGTATAAAGCTGAGCTCACCATTCTTCCTGTCCCATCCCACCAAAAATCTGATCCTCCTCCTGGATTTACGATCCGAGAGAGGGGGCTGGAGGGAGCAGCAAATTAAGCCTGCGGTTCAAATCTGGCCCGCCAACTGTTTGGGTAAATAAAGTTTTATTGAAATACAGCCATCCCATTTATTTACATACTATCTATGGCTGCTCTTGAGCTACAAAGGCAGAGTTAAGACAGAGACAAAAGTACTATATTGTACTTTTCCAAGTCTGCCACCCCTAGTTCCAGAAAGCATCTCATCTTCCCAGCAATCTAGAGATCATCACTCACTCTTCCACCTTACTCCTATACCAAATTGGTCACCAGGTTCTTTTACTTCTGTTCCTAAATAGGTATTGAATTCATCCAGTCCATTTTCTCCTCTCTGCCTTCTATAACTGCTATTAGTTCCAGCCTTCGGGCCTCCTGCCTGCTATCCTAGCCTTGTCTCCTTGTCATTCTTTTTTTTTTTTTTTTTTTTTTTTTTTTTTTTTTGGGGGGCGGGAGGGGGAGAGTGCACGCGGGGCTCGATCCCATGAACTGTGAGATGGTGACTGGAGCTAAATCAAAAGTCAGACGCTGAACTGACGGAGCCACCCAGGTGCCCGTTCTTGTCATTCTTGCCCCATGTAGCTCCTATACTCTATTTATGAAGAACTACTCCCCAACCCCCAAACTTGCCAAATTCCATATGAGCAGGGCCTTGCCTTGTTCACTTGCAGCCCCAGCACCTAACCCGGGTCATGTTACAAGGTAGACGCTACAAAAGTAAGTCCACACAGTGCCTCTCTGACTTTCATAGACTGTTCCCCTCTGCCTGGTAGGTCTTCCTACATAACCCCCCACCTGCCCTGGCCTTTAAACTTTCAAACCTCAAGACTCCCCAACAGTCACTTGCTTGGAGAAGACATGCTAACTCTCAAAGGTAGAACTGATGTTTTCTCTGTCTTCCCACAGTGATCATCCATGCAGACATCTATCATGATCACAAGTCAAGATGTCAAGTTTACACCTGTCTGTCTTCCCTGTACGACTGTGGATTCTTTCGTACTTCCTGTGCTCAGCATACACTGGGGTCAAATCATAAGCACTTCCAGGTTCTAGGATCCTGGTTGTATCTTTTACTGTTGAATAAGCTAATTAACTCTCTATTCTTTTTTTTTTTTTTTTTAAGTTTATTTATTGGGGGTGGAGAGGCAGAGAGAGAGGGAGAGAGAGAGTCCCAAGCAGGCTCCATGCTGTCAGCTCAGAGCCCAATGCAGGGCATGGTTCCATGAACTCTGAGATCATGACCTGAGCCGAAACCAAGAGTTGGCCGCTTAACCAACTGAGCCCCGCAGGCGCCCCTAGCTCTATTTTCTGAAACATATCAACAATTTATTGTTTAGTGTGCACTGTGGGAAAGGCAGAGAAACAAGACTAAATTGCTGCTTTCTTTAAACACAGTCTAGTTGAAGAGACCAGACATCCAAGGGAAACTAAGGCAAGTGCAAAGGGGAGAGTAAGTTCATGACGAATGTAACAGATTACTGAGTCCATGTGATTGTGGAACATTTCAAAGAAGGTGAAATAGGGAAGATTAGGAAAGGAAAAAGTATTTCCAGTTTGAAGACAGAGGAAAATGGACATGGTAACAGCCCAGGTCTAGGTGCGAACGGAGATGGGACATGTGTGTAGTCTATAGGCAGTCTAATTGGAGTAAGGAGTTCATAACAGAAAGGAGGCAGACAGAGGAAGAAAAGTTTAAGTGACAGGATGAAGAAGTCTTGCAGGCAGCTGAAAGTCAGTGAAGGTCAGAGATGGAGCAAGAGTAGCATTTTAGGAAGACCACTCTGTGTAATAAAGACACGACTGGAAAAACTCTCCGTGAACTAGGACTAGAGGGGAACGTCCTCAACCTGATAAAGAATATCTACAAAAGCCTACAGCTAATACCACACTTCATGGTGAGAGACTCCAAGCTTTTCCTCTAAGGTCAGGTACCCCTCTTTTCTGACGTCATAGTGGAAGTTCCGGCTAATGCAACAGGACAAGAAAAGGAAATACAAGATATACAGATTGGGAAGGAAGAAATAAAACTGTCTCTGTTTGAAGATATGATTGGAAGGGAACAGAAAGAACCCCCAGATCCTACCTTCTCCTTTAGTTTTGCCTGCAGGAAGAGAGTCAGGCTCCGGAGTCGCTCAGTCAGCATGCCTAGATCTTGGGAATACTGACGTGTCTTCTCCAGGTCTTGTTCCTGGTTCTCTGCTATGGTGGTAGCCAGTTTAGCCCTAAAATAAGGAAAGAACGGAGAAAACAGCCAAAGACCAAGCAGCCTTCTCTGAACACCTCTCCCAACATCCCCATACAGAGCTGCATGCAAAGAGGGAAACAAGAGGCTCTCCTCCTTCCTGGAGACTTTAGCTTCCAGAAATGTCCCTGGGAAACAGAAACACTTAGCAGGGGAAGCGATCTTACTTCAGGTTCTCTACGGTGTCCTTGAGGCCCTCGCACTGCAGGCTGCGCTCCCGGAGCACTTCCAGTGTGGTTTTCAACTGACACTCAACCTGGCCCAGCTCTAGGTGAGCAACTTGATTCTCTTGGTCAGCAAACTGGGGACACAGGAAAGGCAAGGCAGGCAAGGAGTGAGAGAGGGAGAGGAGAAAATGAGGCTAAGCGGGAAATTTTAGAGCCCTGGGAACAGGCTTTTTCCGGTCCATAGTCTCGAACTCACCTCAATACCATTAGGTGAGAGTCACACTCCTACCAGTTCTGGAAGCCACATCCCTTACCTCCAGGGTCTCCTTCAGGTCCTGCACCTCCTTGGCCAGGACAGCCTGTTGTTGCTGCAGCTCTGCCTGCACGTGTTTTAGCGCCACCTCTTCCTTCTGCCACCTGCCAGAGACCTGATATTAGACGCCATCCGTCTTACAGCCTGGGCGCCTACTACCACGATAGCCTGATAGGAACTCACTGAACAGCCTGCTCCTCATTGCTCTGCGTAAGCTTGCAGACCAACTCATCCTTCATGGCCAGGTCCAGGGTACAGCGGGCATGCTGAGTCTGCAGCTCTTTTAGCTGACTCTCCATAGTGGCCAGACTCTGCAGCTGAGCCCGGAGATCTAAACCGAAAGTATCCTAATGACACTCTGTAGTCATCAGGCCCAAACCTCCCCAGGCTTCTGCTCCAAAACCAGTGCTCCAGAGCACCTCCTTGCTCTACTGCCACACCCCAAGCTTCCGCAGGGCACATGGGCACGCGGGCACACACGCACACGCGCGTACACGCACACACCCCTACCTGTTGCTAGGCGACTGTTTTCCAACTCCAGTTGTTCTACTCGGCCTTTGCACTCCTCCAAATGGGCAGAGACTTGTTCCAGCTCCCTGGACACCTAGGAAGAAAAGACAGTTGTTCTCCCACAGGTTTTCCTGAATCGGGAATCCTAGGACTCAGCAGAGCTTCTCTTTCTGAACAGGACAGCAAAGGACCTTGTTCCTGGGCAGCAACGCTGAGGAAATAAGGCTGATCCTCAGGAAAAGGTAGAAAGAGGAGGAAAGTGGCTAAAGAAGGTGCTAAAGACCCAAGGAAACAAGGGGGCCCAAGGCCACCTATAGTGAAGGGACCTGGCTGGTCTCCAAACCCAGAGCGGAAAAAAGACAGGTCCAGGGTAAGAGGCTACCGATGCCGCTCACTAGAAAGGCCTTCTGTAGAGGCAGGAAACCAGGCCTGAGCAGCCCCCCACGCCTGGTCTGTACCTGCTGCTTGTCCCCAACCGCAGCATCACGTTCCTGCAGGGCCTGCCGGCTCTTGGCTGTGAGTTTCTCCGTGAGTTGTCGAGACCGGCTCAGCAACGCGGTCCACGTTTTATACTACCAGGGGAAGCGAGCCGGTCAGGAGAGCACGTTTGAGGCAAGGCTCCCAACAAGGCTGGCTGTTGAGTGAAGGAGTGACAGGATAGCCCCAAATACTCACATCCCACTGCATGGATATCCAGTCCTGTCGTAAGTTTGAAGTAAGACTCGCGGTCTGCTGAGCCAACTCTTCTTGCTCAGTATGAAGCCCTACCTGCACAAGAAGGATTGCCGAGGCTACAACAAAATGCGGGGGGGGGGTGGGGTACGGCCATCCCGCCAGTACGTCAGTATGGACCCCAAGAAAGAAAATGTTTGCAAATTACCAGTTGGGTCTGGGTCTCCTTCAAAAGGCCTCTGAATGCCCCCATGGAAGCCATGTCCTGTTCCAGCTGGCTGATGCGCTGGCTGGCATGTGCACAGAAAGCTTCTAGCACGGTCTCTGCCTAGTGAGGGAAGAGGTGGCGAGGACACGGTGGGCAGAGGAGGGAAAGAACACAAAAAGCCGTCACTCTCCACCATTATTTAGTTTAGTTCATTATTCCCCAGGGCTGGCACTTCTTTGGCCACCCACCCGTGTCTCAAGCGAAATTTGTGTTCCTGCAGGAACCCTGGGAACCTCCCACGTCCAGGAACAGAGCCTGACACCTTACCGCGTCCTTGCCTCTGAGGGCCATTTCCTCTCTGTGCTTCGCCTCCTCTGTTTCTGCTTTGAGGCTCTGGAGCCTTGCCTTCAGTTTCTTCAACACATCAAAGCAGCAGGAGACCAAGGTTTCTGCACGCCGAGACTACAAGACAAGAATCAGACAGTGAGTCTGGTTCCTTTTTTCGGCTCTCAGTCTCACCAGAGGCCTCTGCCTTCACCCTCCCGCTGCTCACCTCCTGATTCAAGGTAGTTTTATCTTCCTCTAAGTGCAACAGAGACAGATGAAGCAAGGATATCAGCTCTTTCGAAACCAGCACCCACGACTGCTGTAGAGGGAAAGGTGGTTGGGCTAGATCAAATAAAGTCACTAAGTAGGAAGGAACAGGGACACAGGGGAGGAAAACCACTGCCCCCAATCTCAAGCTCCCAGGAGGGAGGTGTCCTTAACAAAGGTTGGGAAACCTCCCTTTACGACCAGAGCTGAGGATCACCATCTGCTAACCACCCAGGATTTTTCATTCTTGACCTTCACAGGATGATATACCCAGTGACGGTGTAAACAGAACTTACCATGACATTCCTGGCCTGCTGCAGAGCCTGGCCAATCTCTTGGCTCTCCTGAAGAGGCTGAGGTTTCTTACTTATCTAGGCAGAGAAACAAAGTGGTGTGCCTTTTGCAGAGGCAACGTACACGGCCAGCACCGCATTCCCCAAGTGCCACCCACGTAAATACAGGAGTCTCTCCTATTAGAAGCAGGAACAAGGCTCACAGCTCAATGAGGCCAAGTAAGAACAAAAATCCAGAAGCACATACAAATTCCTTTTCAAAATAACCTTGCTCTTCTAACTGTAAGGATGACATGTGTTTATTGTAAAATTTTGGAAATATAGAGTGAATAAAATAGAAAAAGAAACCACTAATAATTTTACCACCTGACTGATTGATTGATTGACTGATTTATAACAAGAGGAGAAAGGGCAGAGAGGGGAGAAAGAATTCCAAGCAGGCTCCACATCATTAGTGCATGGCCCAACGTGGGGCTTGAACTCACAAACTGTTGGATCGTGACTTGAGCCAAAATCAAGGATAGTATACCTAACCGACTGCACCATCCAGGCACCCCTGGAGCAATGATTCTTAACAGTATAGCAAACACCCCAAAAGACTTCGACATGACCCTAGAGATTTCCTTACTATAGGGATTTGCTATAAGTACAGTATATTACTTAGCTCAGGTGTCAGAGAGAAAAAACAGTTGCAGACTACTGATTTAGAAAGAAGCTACTATATTCAATGAATTTCTAAGACGATTATCTTTTTACACAACAATGCCACAGAAATTGGGATGTATCTTAATACTGACAGTGTTTTCGGTATGATGAACAACTGTAATGCTTAAGAAAACCACAAATGAGATTATGACAAGAAAACCGCAAATGAGATTATGACATAAAAATGAATGTGTGGTTCTGTGTTTATTACCTAATTTTATTATACTAATGTTATTTAGCCCTGAATTTGTACTCACTCTCCTCACTGGAATAGCCTGAAATTGGGACATCTGCTTTAGGGGGACCTATCAG